AAATGGTTTGTAACAGAATTGTAGCATTTTTTCTTTTATTTTATTAATGACTAAATGGAATGGTGGGGCCCAGACCTACTTGCCAACCCAAACTCCAAGCGGCCTGGTAAGATACAGAAAGAATGAGCTCACACACCTACGCGGCGACGGCCAAGGCGAGCGCAAGAAATCCGACAGGATTTACGACTACGATGTCTACAACGACCTCGGAGATCCCGACGCCGATGATGACCTCGCACGCCCCATCCTCGGCGGCCCCCAGCATCCTTACCCTCGCCGCGGCAGAACTGGCCGCCCGAGGACTAAGAAAGGTCAGTCAGACACACACACACACACCACATGCACAGAAACTGTTTGTCAAAATGCCGAGCTCAACCAGTGTTGTTCTTCGCATAATGGATTTTGTGCTTAATTCGAATAACTGTATAGCTAAATCTCTACTCAGTTTTTGTTTACATTTTAATCTCAAATTTAGATCCACTAAGCGAGACGAGGAGCTCCGAGTTCTACGTGCCTAGAGACGAAGTATTTTCCGAAGTGAAGCAGGCGACGTTCTCTGCTAAAACCCTGTACTCTGTGCTCCATGCGCTCGTCCCATCACTGAAGAGTACCATCATAGACAGCACCCTCGGCTTCCCACACTTCACGGCCATAGACACTCTGTTCAACGAAGGATTTCTGCTCCCAGATATTCCGACCACTGGGTTTCTGGGGAATATGATACCCAGGCTCGTCAGGTTTATCAAGGACGCCAAAAACAGTGTCCTGCAGTTTGAAACCCCTGAGTTGATCGACAGTAATTCCATCAACTCTGCCTCTTTTGTCCTTATATTTTTCCCTGTTTGTGTTTCTGGATTTTGCGTGGGAACAGGACAAGTGGTGCTTCATGTTGAGCTGCTTTTTTGCAGGAGATAAGTTTGCGTGGTTTAGGGATGCTGAGTTTGCGAGACAGACTCTAGCAGGTGTCAATCCATGCTGCATCAAGTTGGTTACGGTATGGCTATTAATTACGCTCGCTACCCAATTATCTTGTTAGTTCCGAGTTATAGATTCATAATGTGTTCGTGTAGAGTGTAGACGTAGATGCGACAATTTTCAAATGATTTTTCACAGGAATGGCCACTGAAAAGCGAGCTCGACCCTAAGATTTATGGACCTGCTGAATCGGCAATCACAACGGAGCTGGTGGAGAAAGAAATTGGTGGCTACATTACGGTGGACGAGGTATAATCTGACCGATTAATGAGAAGATAGATATGATTACAATGCAACATGTTTTTCACCAGATCACATTTCATTTTGTTCTTCTCTTTTTTTCTGCCCCCCAAATTTTCTGTAGGCATTGAAGCAAAAGAAGCTGTTCATTTTAGACTACCACGATGTGTACTTGCCTTACGTGAACAAGGTAAGGGCGCTCGAGGGGACTACTTTTTACGGGTCGAGGACTTTATTTTGCTTGATGCCTGAAGGTGTGTTGAGGCCCGTGGCCATCGAGCTTGTGAGACCGCCAGTAGACGAGAAGCCCCAATGGAAGGAGGTCTACGTGCCAAGTTGGAACCCAACTTCCATCTGGTTATGGAGGCTGGCTAAGGCTCACGTCCTGGCTCATGACTCCGGTTTTCATCAGTTGGTTAGTCATTGGTGAGTTATACCTTTTCGTGTATCCACTGTTTTCTTACCTTTGAATTTTTTATACACACTGTAGATTGTTTTTATGTGAAGGATAAGGGAGTGTTAACTTTTCGATTATGCTTTTTTTGACAATGTTAATCTCCTGGGTGTACTTTGCAGGCTACGTACTCATTGTTGCACAGAGCCATATATAATCGCAACAAATAGGCATCTGAGTGCAATGCACCCGATTTACAGACTGTTGCATCCTCATTTTCGGTACACGATGGAGATTAATGCTCTGGCTCGTCAGGCCCTCATCAATTGCGATGGTATCATCGAGTCCTCATTCTCCCCGGGCAAGTATTCTATAGAATTGAGCTCCGTCGCGTATGATAAGCTATGGCGGTTTGATCTAGAGGCACTACCCGCTGATTTGATCAACAGGTAAACCATGCAAAATGGGTAACTACATTTTACGCACACACACATATATATAACTAAATTGAGTCTACCGTCTTTCATTTTATTTTATTTATTTTTTTTGTTCGTAACTCTAGGGGCATTGCTGTGGAGGATCCAAATGAACCTCACGGCCTAAAGCTAGCAATCGAAGACTACCCTTACGCAAATGATGGTCTGCTTATATGGGACGCCATCAAACAGTGGGTCACGGACTACGTCACGTACTACTACCCAGAACCGAACCTCATAGAATCGGACTACGAGCTCACGTTATGGTGGACAGAGATCAAACAGAAGGGTCATGGGGACAAAAAGGATGAGCCATGGTGGCCCCAGCTAAAAACTCCCGAGGACCTGATCGGGATCATCACGACCATCATTTGGGTGACCTCGGGCCACCATGCAGCTGTCAACTTCGGCCAATTCGATTACGGAGCCTACTTTCCCAACAGGCCCACCACAGCCCGAACCCCTATGCCCACAGAGAATCCGAGCGAGGAAGAAAAGAAGGAATTCTTCGAGAGGCCCGAAGAGTTTCTCTTGAAGTGCTTCCCTTCCCAAGCTCAGGCGACAATCGTGATGGCTATTTTGGACGTTTTGTCTAATCATTCGCCCGATGAGGAATATATGGGGGAGGATATCGAGCCCTGTTGGGCCGCTGATAAAGTGATAAACGCTGCCTTCGAAAGGTTTAGCGGTCGGATGAAGGAGATTGAAGGGATTATCGACGGTAGGAATGCCGATCTGAAGCTGATGAATCGGGCCGGGGCTGGAGTGGTGCCGTACACGCTCTTGAAGCCGTTTTCGGAACCTGGTGTGACGGGGCAAGGTGTGCCGTACAGTATCTCGATTTAACGGCCGGACATTACATGTTAAATAGAAGCCAGATGCTGGATGAACAAGTGAAACAAAATGGAGTCTATCTTTTATGATCAACTAGACTTTAAAGATATGATTCCACCTTAGCATTTGCCCTGCAAATTAATAAAAATTGCAACAATTTTTCATATCCCAGACATCAATGGCAATAAAAATGCAATAAGATTTTAGTGTGTTTCGAGGATTTATTTGCTATACAACACATTGTGACTATTGCAACAATTGTTTATAAGATTTTAAGGTGGTTTTCTATTAAAATTAGTTTAACTATTTTTTAAAAGAACATTGTTAAATGAGATATAAAATAATAATAATAAATATATAATTTAATAATAACAAAAAAATATAATTTATTGTAAAATAAATAGCTTGAAGAGAAAAAAAATAAAAATCAATAGGATTATTTATAGTTATGTAATTTGTATTTTAAACAGACATCATATTCGATATGGTGGAGGACAACCTCAAGGCTAGGCTGGGCGCAGAGCAACCTCAACATCGTCGCTCTATAGAGTCGTAACTCTCCAATATTTTATTATTCTTTTATTTTTCTTAATTTGATTATATTTTATTATTATTGAGATATATTATTTTGACAAAGGATAGTAATATATTTACAAACTGAATTTAGAGTGGTACCAAAATATTATTTTGGATATATATATTTGTATTAAATTACTCTAGAATGATACTGTTGGGAAAAATACGCTGAAATTTCCATGAAGTCGGATCTATAAAAGTGAAATAAAAAAAAAAAAAAGAAAAATTGGACACACCAAATTGATAACGGAGTTCGGCCAATAATGCCTACGTCTCCGGACTACTGCAGATATTTTATTAGGAGAAAAGAAAACACTCGTGTCTACAAAACATTCGTAAACTCACTCACAGCTCACAACACAAATACACACAGAAACTAAAATTTTCTTTTTCTAGCTCACTCTCTTTTTCTCCCTTTCTCTCTTGTATTTTTGTTGTGTTGGTATTCTCCGTGTTTCACAAAATGGCCTCCTTTTATAACTGAGAAATTGGATGCTGAAATTCTCCTCCAGCCACCAAAGCCACCAAAATTAATGTAGCCACCAAAGCCACCAAAATTAATGCAGCCACCAATATTTAATTAGCCACCAAGAATTAATGCTGCCAACAATCTCCCACTTGAGGACTGATTTCAATCTGTCATCACACCTCAATACTGCAGTAGTCTTCTCGGTCTGTTATCCTAGCAAGCCAACTGAAGTTGAGCACAACTTCAGTTTATCAATGGTCACCACTTTCGTTAGCATATCTGCTGGGTTCTTGCTTCCTACAATTTTGTTCAAAGTCAACACTTCATCCTCAAGAAGAGATCTGATGAAATGATATCGTATGTCAATGTGCTTAGTTCTGGAGTGAAACACTGAGTTCTTTACCAGATGTATTGCACTCTGACTGTCACTGTGCAAGACACTCTCTTTTTGAGTGAAACCCAACTCTGCTAACAATCCTTGAAGCCATATCAATTCTTTACTGGCTTCTGTCACTTCTACATACTCAGCTTCTGTAGTGGATAGAGCAACAATCTTTTGTATCCGCGACATCCAACTAACAGCTGTAGCTCCGACAGTGAAAACATAACCGGTGGTGCTTCTTCGGTGATCAACTTCACCTCCAAAGTCTGCATCTACGTAACCCTGTAACTTTAGATCACCTTTTCTAAAATACAGACACTTTTCTGTTGTGCCTCGTAGATATCTCAAGATCCATTTGACTGCTTCCCAATGAGCTTTTCCTGGTTTTGACATAAACCTGCTCACAACTCCCACTGCATGGCCAATGTCTGGCCTCGTACAGACCATCGCGTACATCAAACTTCCAATGGCTGAAGCATAAGGAATCTTAGCCATAAACTCTTCTTCTTCCTTTGTTTGAGGAGACTGTTCCTTGGATAGACGAAAATGGCTGGCCAAAGGTGTACTGACTGGTTTGGCCTTGTCCATGTTAAATCTCTGCAAAACACGGTTGATGTACTCTGCCTGAGATAACTGCAAAACTCCCTTTTGCTTATCTCTCGTGATTTGCATTCCAAGAATCTTCTTCTGGGCCTAAGTCCTTCATGTCAAATTCTTTTGACAACTGCATCTTTAAATTTCTGATGTCTTCCATATTTGATCCTGCTACTAACATGTCATCGACATAAAGTAGCAATATGATATAGTTGGACTCATATTTCTTGAAGAAACAACAGTGATCAGCATTGCACTTCTGGAAGCCTTCCTTGTGCATGAAACTTTCAAACTTTTTGTACCACTGTCTTGGAGCTTGTTTAAGGCCGTATAAGCTCTTCTTCAATTTGCACACCATATCCTTCTTTCCTTCTGAAAAACCTTCAGGCTGGTGCATATAGATCTCCTCATCGAGGTCTCCGTGAAGAAATGCAGTCTTCACGTCTAATTGCTCTAGGTAGAGCTCTTCACTAGCCACAATACTTAACACAGTCCTGATAGTATTGAGCTTTACAACTGGAGCAAATATTTCAGTATAGTCAACTTCTTCTTTCTGCTGAAATCCTTTGACAACCAGTCGGGCTTTGTATCTCCTGGAACCATCATGGTCTTCCTTCACCCGATACACCCATTTGTTGTGAAGTGCTTTCTTTCCCATTGGTAACTTGACTAGTTCCCATGTCTGATTTGAGATCAAGGACTTCATCTCGTCCTTCATGGCAAGCTCCCACTTGCTCGCATCTGTGGTTTGACAAGCATCCTTATAATCTTTAGGTTCTCCTCCATCAGTTAACAACATGTAGTCCATGTATCTCCTGTTAGGCACATGGGGCCGAGAGGACCTTCTCAATACAGGAACTGGAGTTGAAGCTTCTGATTGCTCACCGCTTTCTTCATTTGATTCCTCTGAATGAGGATTCTTTATTACAGGAATGTCTGGGATATTTTCCACCTCTGGATATACTGGCCCACTCGCTTCTGAGTTGCTGGCACTTGTGTTATGTCGGTCCTTGTACATCACTCTTTCATTAAAGATGACATCTCTGCTGCGGATCATCTTTTTGGTTTCATCATCCCATAACGGTAGCCAAACTCATCTTCACCATAACCAAGGAAAGTACATTTCTTTGATTTTGGATCAAGTTTGTTTCTGCCTTGATCACTGATGTGCACATATGCTACACACCCGAAAACTCTAAGATGTGAGAGTTTTACTTCTTTTCCGCTCCATACCTCTTCTGGTAACTTGTAATCCAATGGTACCGATGGACTTCGGTTGACCAAGTAAGTTGCTGTGTTGACTGCTTCTGCCCAGAACTCCTTCGGTAAGCCTGACTGCATCCGCAAGCTTCTGGCTTTTTCAGTCAACGTTCGATTCATACGCTCAGCTACACCATTGTGTTGAGGCGTACCAGGCACGGTTCTCTCCATTCTGATCCCGTGCTTATAGCAAAACTTCTTGAATCTGGTGGTTACGTATTCACCACCATTGTCGGATCTGAGCTTCTTGATCTTTAAGCCTGTCTCATTTTCCACCATAGCTTTCCAAATCTTGAAAGCTTCAAATACTTCTGACTTGTGTTTCAGAAATTAAACCCATACTTTTCTGGAGTGATCATCGATAAAGGTCACGAAGTATTGCTTCCCACTACCGGATGGGACAGTCATTGGGCCCCAAACATCTGAGTGGATGAGCTCAAGCTTCTCCTTCTTTGGGGTTCTTCTACTTGTCTGAAAGCTGACTCTTTTATGTTTTCCAAGTATACAATCTTCACACATGTCAATTTCTATTGACTGAAGGCCTGGTAATTTTCCTTTTGAGTGAATGATCTTCATCCCCTTTTCACTCATATGCCCAAGTCTTTGGTGCCATAGATTGGGACTTTCATTTGCTGCAACTGCAATCAGATGACATGCTCCTGTTGTCTTGTAAAGAGTACCACTCTTTTTGCCTCGAGCAATTGTCATCGCACCCTTTGAAATCTTCCAATCGTCTCCGTGGAAGATTGTCGTGTAGCCTTCACTGGCTAGCTGGCCCATCGAGATTAAATTCTTCGTTAGGTCGGGAATATGTCTTACGTTTTTCAATTCCCATACAGACCTGTTCAACTTGATTTTTATCGCACCTTTGCCTACAACCTCACATGATTGCTCATTACCAAGGTAAACTTTACCAAGATTTCCAGGAACATAGTTTTCGAATAGTTCCTTCTGTGAGGTAGCATGAAAGGATGCTCCAGAGTCTAACACCCAAGACTCTTCTCTGTTCTCCAAAGAACATATCAGCAAGTCTCCTCCTGAGACTGAAGCAACATTTGCCTCTTCCTTTGCCTCCTGGTTCTTTGGTGCACTCCTGCACTGGTTTTTGTAGTGTCCGGTCTTTCCACAATTCCAGCACTCGATCGACTTCGAGTTTTGGGAATTACGATGATTTCTGGACTTGGAACTCCTTCCTTTTGATTTGTTGTGCCTGCTTTCTTTGGTTGAACTTCTTCCTCTTGACTCTGTATGCAATACAGAAGAGGTCGATGGTTCACCCGACTCCTTCCGTCGGATCTCTTCACTGAGAACCAAATTTTGGACATCATCAAATCTCAACTTATTGCTTCCCGACGAGCTACTCACAGCCGTGACCGTAGCATTCCAACTTTCTGGTAGGGAAGACAAAAGTATTAAAGCCCTTACTTCATCATCGAACTCGATCTCAACTGAACTCAACTGAGTTGTAACGGTGTTGAGCTCATTGAGATGATGTGCCACCGAAGTACCTTCGGTCATACGCAAGTTGAACAATCGCCTCATCAAATGAACTTTGTTTGAGGCTGATGGTTTCTCGTACATGTTGGAAAGAGCCTTCATGAGGCCTGCTGTCGTCTTTTCTTTCGCAATGTTAAAGGCAACATTACGGGACAATGTCAGCCGAATGGCTCCAAGGGCCTGTCTGTCAAGGAGACTCCATTCTTCCTCCTTCATGTCTTCTAGCTTCTTTCCCGTGAGTGGTTGATACATATTCTTCTGGTACAGATAATCCTCGATCTGCATCTTCCAGAAGCCAAAGTCCGCACCATCGAACTTTTCGATTTTTATTTTTCCTTCGTCTGCAGCCATCACTTCGTATCTGATCTGACTTCTCTGCCGGATCGTTTCTGTAATTTTTGTGAACTACCGTGTTTCAGAACACGTCGGTAGATAAAATTGTAGCGCCGACAAATTTGGCACTATTCCCGTTTTTCACTATTCACGGGATAGTAACCGACACAAAAAAAAATACAGAATTAACAATCTGGCTCTGATACCAGTTGTTGGGAAAAATACGCTGAAATTTCCATGAAGTCGGATCTATAAAAGTGAAATAAAAAGAAAAATTGGACACACCAAATTGATAACGGAGTTCGGCCAATAATGCCTACGTCTCCGGACTACTGCAGATATTTTATTAGGAGAAAGAAAACACTCGTGTTTACAAAACACTCTTAAACTCACTCACAATTCACAACTCAAAAATACACAAAGGCTAGATTTTTTTTTCTACCTCACTCCTTTTTTTTTTCTCTCGTATTTTTGGTTCTTCTTGGTGTTCTTCTTGCTTCAAAATGTGCTCATATTTATAGCTAAAAATGGTGCAAAGTTTCAGCTGCAAATTTAATGCTCCGCTACCAATATTAATGTTCAGCCTCCAAAATTGCACAGCCACCAAGTTAATTGCATAGCACAACCTCCAAATTAAATGCAGCCTCCAAATTAATTCAACCACCATCATTAATTTCAAGCCACCATCATTAATTGCCTCGTGCAGCCACCAAAATTAAATGTGGCCCCCAAATTGTCTCTTAGAGCACCCACAATGCTTTGGGTTTCTTAGAAAAAAGTTACATGCCATGTAAGAAATAGACCTAGTCTATAAAAAAGTGTTCTCCAATGCAATTAAAAGTGGACCTAGTCTATCTTATGTGGCAATAAAAAAATGAGACCTAGTCCACACTTGGGTCTATTTTAGACCCAAGTACAAACTCAAGCACTCATCATTTATTCCTCATTTAATTTTTCTTTTAATAAATGAAATATACTAGAGCATTTTTATTGGTTGTCATGTATTCTAGACCTAGTACTTTTTTGTTTTGCATTGGATAGATTTTGGTTTTTTTAGTTTAGGTTTGTCCATGTCATTATGGACTTAAGTCTATTTATTTGCCACATATGCAAAAAGAGACCCAAAGCATTGTGGATGCTCTTATCATTTTGTTGGGTATCCAACCATATGAAGATCGAAATATTCGTGAGAACATTGTGAAATATAACTACAAAATAAATCTAGAAATGAATTGCAAAAATCTTATTAATATAACTACCACTATAGTATAATAGAATTGATATCTCAACTTAATAACAAATCTCTAAGAGTTTATACTCATTTTGTAACTAACCATATACCAAAAATCATCTATTCAAGGAGTTAAAAAAAATTTCATTTGATTTTATCAATAACTGCACCAAACCAATTTTTTAGAAAATTAATATTGCGATTCACAATATCATAACAAATCTTATAGACATTAATATATTAGAAAAAATTATAATATTTATAATATTATAAATTATAAGAAAAATATAATAATATTGATGTGATTAGAAAGTAATATTTTTTTTTTAAAATTTTAAATATTACATATTACAATCATTTTCAATTAATTGATGGTTCTAATATTTGCCACAAATTTTTAACTAACTTATTTAGAAATCGAAATAATATATTGTAAAAAGGTATGAGTAACAGAAGAGAAGAGAGAGAAAGAGACACAGAGAGAGAGAGAGAGAAATATTATGACGAATGAAATAAACATACAAATCGTATATTAAATAATTATACCTCATAAAATAAAATGAAAAATAATTATTAATATTCAAAACTATTTTTATAATAATCAAATATTGCTTCATTGCTTTAATACATTCAATTCAATAATAATTATGGCCCCGTACATTGTAAGAGCAACCACAACCCTGCGCCATATCTCTACTTTTACGGTATATTAGCGCAAAACACTAGTCCAATGGTGCGCCAGATCTGACGCTAGATGGGAGATATAAATAGTGTGGCGCAACACTGTAGCAACAACTCTATTTTTTTTAATGAAATTTAATGTAATATTAATAATAATTTTTTGTATAATGTGGATTGGTAAATGTATTTCTATGCCAAATAACGATATGCAATGTGTTTGTTATGCTAAATAATTTTGTGTTTTATTTATTTATGTATTATAATTTTATTTTATAATTTTTATTATAAAAATAGTACCATATGAATAAAATTTAACACAATCAAACAAGTACAATTTAATTATGTAATTTGTATTCTTATTATTTGAATTTATGAGGCAGTCCAGTTTTGTTATATATAAACATATTTTTATTATTTGAATAATAAAAATTTGTATAAGATTAAATATACATATATATACCAATTTATTTGAAATAAAAATAAATAAATAAAAAATATATTTGATGTACATTTAAATTTAGTGCGAAGGGCTGGAGATGGAAGTTGAATTTTGGCTAACTCTACTATAGATAGAGCAGTGTTAAGTACCGTACCGTACCGACCGGTAATACCGGATACATGCCATTGGTACGGTGCAATTAGATGCAAAATATCAGATTTACGGTTATACCGGGACCATACTGTAAAAACTAAAAAATATCGGTCCAAAATACCGACCAATAAAAAAAATAAAATTTATTAATTTAAAAACATAAAATTTAAATTGGTAGTAATATATTTTATTTTTTATCTTGATGAGAAAAAGAAATTAATTATTATGGTCCTTTATTTTTTTTACTTTTTTACATTTGGTGTTATATATTTTTATGTATATTTATATATATCATTATATGTGCTAGTCCGACAATACACCAATATTACCGATTCGACTGGTAATACCGCGTACCGATGGCTAGACCGGTATGACCACCAGTACACGGTAATTAAAACATTGGAATAGAGTAAATTCTACCCTAGAGTAGAGCAAAGGGCTAGAGATGGTCTAAGGGCTACATAGTAGTATGTAATAAATACAAAGACATAAGATAAAACATAGTAGTATGTAATAAATAAATAAAAAAAAAATCCAAAGACATAAGATAAAACAGTGTCTCCAAATAATATAATTTTTAATAAATTGTGTACAATTAGAAAAAGATCTCATCTATCTATATATATATATTAAAAGCCAACTTATTTACCAAAAATAGTAGTAAAAAAAGTCAACACACATTTAATGCATACTTTATTTGAAAATTTTTTACTATATGCATTAAATGCTTGCATATTTACATTTACTATCCAAATATGATCTTAAAGATTTTTTTCTTAAATAATTTATGCAATGATTTTACTTATATCCACTATAATTAATATTTGTCGAGTAATATTTTTTAACCTTTATTTAATTATATAACACTAATATTTTTTAAAAAAATTAATATTATTTATTATTTAAAAGATAATGATCACATTATTAAATGATTTTATTGATGGTTAGATAATAAAATTATAGTTATTCTTTAAAATTTCGACATGTTATTTATTTGTATATTATTGTCAACTACGATAGTGTTTTTATCACTTTTTTTTGTTATGTTTCAAAAATGAACTTATTGTAAAATATTTTTCTATTGCATAGTATGTTAAATAAACTATAAAGCCTTAGGATGAAAATTAGAAAAAATCTCTTGATTATGTAAGAGATTTATTTTTTGGCAATTGCTGAATTATTTTTTTAAAAAAAGAATTATTATGAGAAAATTGAATTCTAAAAAACATGTGTGTGTATTTTGTAAACATTTATACTCAAAATTTTATTTTGAATTTCATTACATAAAGAAGACTACTTCTATAACTTTTATAAATAATAATAATTACATTATATGACTGTAAGTTTTATAATAAAATAATAATTGAGTATTATATGGTGAACAATAATTAATAAATTTTTTATTTTTTCCTATGTCAATGAATAAATATGTATTCTAAAATCAAATAAATATTAGTATGACGTGTTAGCGGAATTATATATTAATTAACATGTTAATTTTTTGGCTTAAATAAACGTCACTTATTAAAAGATGTGAAATATAGATGATCTAAGACTATTGTTTTTTTTGTCTAGACGTACAAGTCCTATAGAGATAATTGATTTATTATATGTATCACGTGCATCGCACGGGGTATGCACTAATAAATGACCTTAAAATTGTGCACCCCGTGCATCAAACGTGTTCACATTTTGGCCTATTACAGGTCACGTACTATATATATCCCGTACATTTTTTTTTATTCATTTATATAATTATAAGAATTGATAAATGACTTTAAAATTATGCACTCTGTGTATCGCACGGTCTCTTACTAGTCAAATTGAAACTTCATGTATTCTACTCTAACATCACTCTCAACAGACTGGTGCGTCTGGACACAGAGGATCGCACCTCCCAAAATTCCAAACATATACTGCCAACCACAGAGCATATCCACAGCTAGGAGACAGCTGTCGAAGTTTGACCTGACGACACTCCTCTCCACAGTCAAATCCCGGCCCTCGATTCCCAAAATGCCCCCCTCGTCCGCCACGTACACCACGATCCCGATCTCCGGCGTCGACGTCATTTTTCGATCGACGCAGAACCTCTCTGCCAGCCTCTCCCGGTGCCGCCCCTGGCCGGAGTTCTTATCGCCCATCTCCGCCTTTGATCTCCCTCCCTCCGCCTCCGCCGCCTCCCTCAGATTCCGCCGCAATGCCGCCTACTTTTCCGTGAATTACGCCGTAATCATCACCGCCTGTGCCGCTGTCTCCCTCCTCGGCTCCCCGATCTCCCTGATACTCGTCGGCTTCGTCTACTTCCTCTGGCTGATCCTCCACTTCTTCCGTGAAGATCCGCTCCTGGTCTGGGGCCACCACGTCAGCGATTGGGCCGTGATTTTGGGCCTCGTCTTGATCTCCGTCGTGGCATTCTGGATCACTGGACCGCTGAACAGCCTGTCCATTGGCGTGGGCCTTGGCCTGTTGATCTCTGTCGTCCATGGAGTGTTGAGGAATCCTGAAGGCCTCTTTCTGGACGAGAACGACGCCGTTTCGAACGGCTTGATTGTCTCCACCTCGAAGCCGACTGCTTCCGGTACTCCAAGTTGTGGAATTCCGTTCAGCCCGCCGGTGTAGTGAAACAGACTCATGATTGTGGATTTTTCTTCTTTCGGTGTGTGGATATGATTTGCTTGATTGGTTACAATCTGATTGTAATTGGCGGTGTTGTTTTTCTTGTGAATTTGGGTTTTGGTTTCTTCTTGGTGTGCTGTATCAGTTTCTTGGGATTGTGATTCTATTTTGTCGATGATGTCGGGTTTATTTTGCGTTGGAACGACGAGTTCCCTTTCTCTTGATTTTATTGATGGCTCAGAAATGTTATAGAATAACAGAGATTATTGAGAATGTGTGGAGTGGAGCTGTTAAGCTGAAGCAATTGTAAAAAAAGAGGTTCTTTTTGCCAAAGTATCCTCATCTGGTGGTTGATAATGCTGGTGATATTGTGCTGCAGCATGAATATGTATCAGATTGGCAATGTTCCTCCCCTCTCCTTAGCAGTCGAGTAACTTCGTGCCTCTCGCTTCACTCGAGTAGCCATGCACCTCTCGGCGGTGACTCGTAACAAATTTGCAATGATGTACATTGATTGGCTATTGTCTCTTTTTCAGTCTTTGATAAGCAGCAAGGTAGAAGAGTTGGGCCAGAATTTGCATTATTAGCCTCAGTATTTAAATATTTGCATTAGGATTAGCAGCAACAAGACCTTTTTTTCGTTTATGATTCGAGTTTTTGATTACTGAACCTTATATCTAGATCGGCTGCAGACTTACGTGTCAAATCAAGTATGACTAAAAAGGAATTTTAGCTGAATGATGCTAGCTCTTCCAAGATTGATTACTTGGAAATATCCCATCGAGCTATTTGCTAGTGATAATGGTCTGACTTAGTTCATGGCCGGCCAAAAAGTTCTAGAGATGATCGCGACACTTTTTTGCTTCCTCAATTCCTTCTTTTACAATCTTTGAACAACTAGTATTGCCCCTTTTGAATGCTTCACATACTTGTCTTGTTCTTTTATGTAACCTTTTATCTTCATTCCTGTGGATGGATGGTTTTATCCATGCTTCCTATTTCCCATTACATATATTCCTTCTGGATTTCTTCCAAGGGTCATAATTAGTAAGCTGAGGATTACTCTTTTTGTAATGCATTAGCTTCTTCTGTTACCCATTGCTTCCAGATTTCATGTGGTTGCTGAAGAGGTGAGCCTCAGAGCCTGTATTCATTTTCTTTTTCCTTTTCTCATAAAAGACTACATCATGAAATATTGTGAAAGGGATTATATATTAACTTGACAGCACAAGAACTAGGCACCAAGTAAACCCCGCCGGCGTCGATTGGAGGGTTGCAGACCTTATCGCGGATTTGCAGTTAACCCATGTTGCGGCTCGTGCTCGTTTGGAGGCGATGACGGCGTCTTATAAGCGTCAGGCAGACGCTTGCCGTTGGCACGTGGAGTTCGAGGTAGGCGACTTTGTTTGGGCGGTTTTGATGAATGACAGGTTTTCGGACCATGAGTACAAAAAGTTATCTGCCTGGAAGATTGGTTGGTCCGGTCGAGGTGGTTGAGAAGATCAACCCTAATGCTTATCGTCTTCGCCTTCCGTTGCACGTTCGCACTTCTGACGTCTTCAACGTTAAATATTTGGTGTCGTTCACTGGTAACAACTCCGACGGAGGATGATGGAGACGAGACCGCGATCGCATTTCTGAATAAATATGATCGGTTCCGTTTTTAGATTATTTATTTCCTATCATTATTGGTCCTTTTATTTTTATTACCTTAGTTATATTATCAAGGTTGGTAAGTAAATAAATATTTGCCGCACTGTGTTAAGCAAGATAAATAGGATTAGGAGACTTGAGACTCTATATATTATTTCCCCTATGCACAAAGTCGATCGGCTATTATTGAGTCTTAATAAAATCTTGTGAATTTTATCTCGTTCCAAATGTCTACCACGCTCTACATCACCTGTCCATAACTTTTGGTACAAATCGTTATTTAGTAATCTTTGACTGAGGGTGACCAGTTAGAATATGTTGGAAGTTCATAGGAAAAGGGAAAATTTACTTCTTTATCTTGTGTTAGCAAATGAACTCGACTTTTTAGCACGAAAATTTTAGAAGAGTGAAAAAAAAATATTCACCACACCACATTAAATCAAAGGGAAATTAAAGCAAATGTTAAATTAAATCAAAATATCTGCCAAAAGATATAAATTCAAAATTTTCAAAGGCACATGTAAATACACCGTAATCATGCAATATAAATGTTTGAAAATGTTTTCTGTAGGACAATCTCGAATTCTCAACATCTACATTGTAACCTTGAAAGCTATATAACATCATCATTTGAAAAAAGCATGAACATGTTGTAGACAATTAAATTTTGAGCCAATAAAATGGCGACAAGTGTCAAATTCCATGTTAAAATCAATTTAATAATTTTCTATTTTATTTGGGAAATTAATCAAATTTAATTCCTAAATTAAAATAGTTAATTAATTGATTATTTAATATACATTGTTGGCCAATTAAAGAATGCCACATGTCATTTTCTTGGAGAGTAAAATAAATATTTATTTCTTTTAATAATTATTAAAGAGATAAATAAATAGAAATTCATGGACCAATCAGATTGAAGTCTTCTTTTCCAAGACTCTTTCTCCTAATTATTTCTTTAAATAATTATTAAGAGATAAATATTGGAAATTATGGACCAATCAAATTGAAGTCTTCTTTTCCAAGACTCTCTCTCCCAACACCTATAAATAGGGACCCTCCCTAAGGTTAAAAAAACACAATTCATATTCAAGTCCACAAATCATATTCAAGTTCAAGAGCTCTAGAGAATTCTCTCCACAATATTCAAGTGTTCTTGAAGATCCAAAGGCGTTCTTGAAGATTCGAAGGAAGACTCAAGCACGTTCAAGCCCAAAACCGACGTTCAATCCGGAAACAAGCTGCCAAGCCTCCGAATTGCGTTATTAAAGTTCAAGTGTTTTGAAGATTCAAAGGTGTTCTTGAAGACCCGAAGGAAGATTCAAGCACGTTCAAGCCCAAAACTGACGTTCAATCCGGAAACAAGCGGTCAAGCCTCCGAATTACGTTATTGAAGTCAAGACCGACGTAGAGAAGATCAAAATCAACTTTGCGGCGAAGACCAAGGACTCGTGATCTTCACGTTCTTGGGAAATCACGACGTTCGATTCGAGATCAAGCTATCAAGCCCTCGAAGAAACGTCATTTAAATCCATATTCAAGACTAGTGGAGATCAAACTGAAGATTCGTCTCCTAAAGTCTCATATCTATTTGAAGACCGTTCTTGAAGAAATTAATCAGAGGAATAATAGAGATTTGTAATCCACTATATTTCTTTTGATCCATTGAAAATCTATTTGTACGAAGTTCTCGTGTTTATTAATTCAATAATACGAAATTTTGCGTTACACATGCATCTAAAACCCCTCAAGAATGTTATTGTCTTCAAAGAATTCCTAGTTGCAGCATGTTGCATCAACTTTTTCCAATGCCCTTGAATTATCTTAACTTCATATGATTGCTATTTTGCACCATTAACCAACAAGATTGCTTTAGCGGTGTTGTTCTTTTGGTTCTAGATATTTGACTTCCAGAAATGCATCGAAGTTAGCTACAAAAACAATATTGCAATAAACTGTGAATGTACAATCACATGCAAACAAAAGCAATATTGCAATAAATTGTAAATGCACTTATACAATATTTCATAAGTGCTTAATAAGCGCGCTCATTGAACGTGGTTAGCCTTATGTCTAATGCAAATTGCGGTTTCCTTTTAATAGCAGTCTCTGGCATCACCATAACCTCTACCTCAGTTAGACGGTTTCGTTCTAAGAAAATAATGCACCCATCACGAATGTCTTCTGACTAAACATAAGTCTGTCAACCATCGACAAAGTGCAAGTGATTATCCAACCACCTCATCGTTACTTGATAGGTACACCCCTCTCTAGTGCAAGGTCGCAACTCAGCGGTAGTAGGTGGCAATATTGATGGTGGATAGCAGGCGAAAGCGACTTATGCAACGTGATATTGAAGTTTTTTTGTCAAAAGCATGTATAATATTTATTTACTAAAATATAATGAAAAAAGATAATAGGCAATTGCAATAGTTGGAGCATGTGATACCGGTGTGGGCCTTGCCGCATCCATAATGATCTTGAGAAAACGTTTCAGGTTATCAGCCATGTTTTGTACCTGTAACAAAACCAAATGCACATTAAAATGTCCACAACGCAACAACTAATTAGAACAATAATAATGTCCACAACACAAGATTCTAGCATATAAATAAGAATACACAAGAGAAAGTGCATTAAAATACACTGCAAAACTAAGTGCAATATATACGAGTAAGGTTTAAACACAAAGTGAAAAACTCACAACTAGAGTGATTTTTATTATTTTAAAGTGAACTCACAAACAATCTACAATCTCCCAAATCTTAGGACCACAACTTCTTATACGCTTAAGATACTTTTCACCGGAATGACGCTAAACCAGGTGATCCCAGCCACCACAATTGAATCATAAAGAGCTAACAACAAAATAACTCATATTTATTTGCAAAACGTAAAGGTAAAAGAAAAAAAAAATTACCAACTTAAACACCAAAAATCATTTCTATCCTTTGAACTGAATCCATCACCCCTCCAGTGGCCTGGTTAAATGTCGAAAATTCAAGTCAAATTCAGTAAAATTCTCTTCAATCTCTTTTCGAAAAGCAAGAGTTAAATGAAGAAAAAAAAATAAAGACAAATTCAATCAAATTCTCTTCAATCTCTCCTCGAATTCACTCAAATTCAAGCAAATTATCGAAAAATCTCTTCTCAAAATTAATAGTTAAATGATGATAAATTCACGAAAAATCTTTAACGTACTTGGTAATTGCAGCGGATTGAATTGAAAAATCTCTTCTCAAAATTAATAGGGTTTGCATTCCCCGCTGATTTCTTCCCCAAATAAAAAATTTCAAGTTTCATTTATGGAGCAGCCGGAGCCGAAGGTACGCTCATCATTTCCTGCTACAGTTAAGTTCCCCTCCGATCATTTATTTTATTTTATCTTGCGAACGGATTGAATTGAATTCTTACTGAATTTAAAATTCAGCCATGGCATTAGTTTGATTCCAGAATTTACCGTTTTTTCGATAATCGAATGAGCTGGAATGATGGTTGCTCGTTCTCGATATAAATTATGGGGGAATCTCATAATCCTGCATTCGCAAGTAGGAATCAAGTTATCTTCACAGTAGATGGATTTGGGAAGCGAGTGCTCGGCGCACGAGTCTGTAACAGACAACGAAGACATTTTGAATGGTCCCACTAAATCCGAAAATGTTATCGAAAAAACTGAGGTTCGAAAAAATGGATCATGTGTAGAAAATTGTGATGATTGTGACTTGTTCTGTAAGGTGAAGCTAAATCAAGCTGGTGTTACCGAGCATATCGACCCTACTAGGAAAGGACGTGGTTTGAAGAAATGGAGAAGGATCGAGAGAGACCCGAAGAAGGGCGGGGGCAGTAACTTAATTATACAGGAATCCTCGAATTCAGAAGTAAGCTCGAATAAACGTGCACAGGATGCCCAACCGAACCAGAGGAGCCGGAGTTCGGGTTCCTCCACAAATGCTGTGGTTCGAACTTTTGACAATGACCCACAGTTTTCTGCCTGGGCCGACTCGGACAGCAGCGAGAACCGGAGCAGCAACCGAGTCAAAATTGAGAAGGAGAACTTTCATTCCAGCTTGGAGTCTGACTCGCGAAGCTTCAATCTTTTATTTGTGCAGGGAACTCGCTCGGTGAATAACAGGATACGGTACGGAAATGGGGATGACATGGCGGGAGGTGATGAACCAGGTGGGGCCGGATGTGAAGCTTGTGTTGCTGACTCATCTTCGGAAGTGAAGGAGGAAAAAAGTGAGAATCATGGGTTGTTGAGCAATCAGGATCCTCTACATGAGTCCGTGTTTGAACTTGAGTCTGCAAAAGAAGCACTCGAGAAAGGTTGGTCCTGAAAAGAATTCCCTCTAAAAGGTTATGTGGGTCCTGAGAGTATCGAGTATTGAAGACCCCTCATTTCAATGCATAAGAATATTTTAAATGAATAAAGAAACTAACTTTCCACACCAAAATGAAGAAATTATGTTCTCTAAATCACTTCGGGATTGTTTCGATACAGGTGGATGTTGAATCATTATTTCGATTTTAATAATCATATTGAGTCGTAAAATCTTGTTTATATTGAGTATTATTATCACCTTAGCCTGTCAATTCTTGCTTGTTTTCTTATACTCAAAATTGATTTTATAAAATACTTTTAGAGTTTAATGGCCCCTTCTGATTTGTGCGTACATCTGCATGCAGAGTTACTAAAGCTTAAAGAAATTGGGAAAGATTATGCGGCCCATGAATCAGGTTCAGATTCGGGCACCGAAGTTATAGACAACAAACGGAATACGATATCTAAGCAGTTCCCATGTGAGGGACACCATAGTTTCTCCCAATCTGTGAAATCCGAGGTTTTAGAAACAACGAGCAGGGATGTGGAAGCAGAAGTAGACTACATTTTCAAGAAAAAATTTGAAGCTGAAGTGGAACATATGGCGATTTCAAGAACAGTCCAAGAGTTGAGGGTTACAGCTTTACATGAGATCCCTATTTTGGAAGAACAAAAAGCTTTGGTTTCAGAGCAAACACAAATACTCGATGAGCTTGAAGCTGCTGAGAATAAAGCTGCCTTGCTCGAGAGAGAAGCCGTGAAGTTGGTAAATATTTGCCAAGACGTTGCCCGAGCAGATGAGGTAATGAAGTTACAGAAAGGGGTTTGTAAGTACAGTTTGTATTTCTTGGTACAGTTAGTACTGCTGCTAGTTACGTTAGGGGCCTTTTTGTTTTGGTTATCGCCTAGGTATGTGGAGGTTGTGCCGACTTAGGAGTAGGGATAGTGTTGCTCTCCTTCTTCTCACTTTGTATGTGTTCTATTGTTGTTCTTTTGAATATTTTGAGCAATAGATTTGTGTCAGTGGTTCTTGATATTTTGGAGAAGCAAGCAATTCCCCAAATGGCCCCACCAGCTGTTCTTTGGCGAATTTACCTATATGCCCCACCACTGTACACAGTTTGGTTCCATTTCTCGATTTATGCGAGACATCCTTGCGCAGGGGTCATGCTAATCTTCCCTGTATCGTTCCAATTTGATCGGATGTCCCCGAAGGGACACCGTACACAGTTTGGTTCTAATAACAAAAGTTTCAATTAAAATTGCAAGTGAAAAACCAATAGCTAGGCATGCACGATTGAGGAACTGATCAAGCTTAGCAATAGGATGCAGTATTAATATTAAGTGTTTTTAGTGTCTTGCCGGCTCTCGACTTTAACCTTAATTTACTCACTCACACAGCTTATGATTAACAATCAGCTGATACTTTGGTTTTAATTATAAATTGGTCAACAAAACAAAAACCATTCATTAGACGTTGAGCAAAACAAAACAATGGGATAAATTTGGTCAACAAACACTTATAATATATAAAATAAAACAATTCTTAACATAATTAACAAGTGAAATCGAGCTGAGATGAGTCTATCTCAGATGGAGGCACCTCATTGAGGTCGAACCCCCTGCAACCGAGACCCGTCGGGTCGAAATCAACCACAATACCACTGTGCTTGTTGTGGCTCGACAAGGACTTATTTTCCCAATGCTCGTCTTTTTTGAGCGAGCCAACACTCCCAATCGGATAGGCGGGGCCCCCTCGGGAGAGCATGAGGAGATAATTCACGGCGTTGAGCAACTCGCTCGAAATCTCCGACGAAGCCCTGCGGCCACGTTCGGCAGTGACCGACCAACCTTTTATCGACGCCGCAAGGTCCACAACTAGAGCTCGATTTTTTTCGATCTTCCCATTATCTTCATTGGATAAAGGAGACAAGTCGGAGGAGGAGGAAGAAGAAGAGGACGGGGGACTAATTCCTTTCCAACCGCGGTCCGGGTGGCACCTCATGTGCCCGTAGAGCGATTTCCATGACGGGAAGTTCTTGCCGCACAAAACGCAATTAGGCTTCTTGTGCTTACTGCTCTTCTTCTTCTTCTTCTTCTTTTCTCGGGCTTCCATTTTGTGATCCTCCTCCATATCCATTGCTCTTTCTTCTTTAGGAACTTGAAGCTCAACGAACATTTCGAATGCGTGAACTTACACGTGATCCGTGAGCTTTAGCTGATGAAGATGAATTGAAACTGCAAAGAAGAAGAGGTGAAAGAAGATGGTAAAGATGAGGACTCCTCAGCTCAAACTCAAAAGTGTGGAAATAGAGTGTCACGTTCTCAGATCCTTTGCCTCTCCTCGTTTGTTATTTGCGGTTAGATGTGAAAAATCCCTTATTTCTCTCCCTTTATTCCTATCAGTTTTAATCAATTCCCCGTATTTTTCTCACTCTCTCTCGCAAACCCACAAAATATCACATTACGTGTGGTTTTTATTTTTATTTTTTTGAATTAAGATTTACTGATGGCATAATAAATTAAGAAATGTTTGGGGTCGAGTTAGTATTGAAATCTTCTTTTCTTTTTTTTTTTTT